CACTATAACATTAGACTAAGTGCATATTAAAGCGTTCGAGAAAGCACATTAGCATAATAAATTTACATTTTGCACAAATACTATAATCTTGATTATTTCGTTTTAACTTACACCTTATTTACAAACTAAATAAACAAAATAAAAGAACTAATAAAATCGATCAAAATATATAAAAAAATAATATTTATATTTTAAAACGTCTTCCCAGTTATATTGCGAATTTGTATTTAATTTATACATTATTAAAGATTTCTGACATTGAAATGCACAAAGAAAAAAATGATAAATAAAAATAGTCGCTTAATAGACTGAACATTAATGTTATACTAAATGCATATTTGTGTATATGAGAGTGCACATTATCGACTTTGGTATTTTGTATATTATGTTTTTCAATCAACTCATAATATAAAAAATATTAAATCGTATTATTAAAAATACTACATATATTTTTAATATAAATAATATATTATTTTAATTAAGGAAATTCGATCAACCGACCGAATAAAAAGTATTTCGGTTCGCTTTTAAGTTTGGTTCATGGCAAAATTTGTATTGATTTAGACTGCACAATAACAACAGAAACCATGCACGATAGTATAATACGAATTGCACATTAACGGCCGTCAAACTGCACAATAATTTTTTATTTGATTTTTCGTATTTCAACTCAATTATATATTTTTTAATTCTAAGATGTCGATTGTTTCGATATAACATTAGTTTATTTTTAAAAAAAAAAAGAACCTAAAATACTGAACCAACAAAAAAATTTACGAAAAATATTATTAGTAATTTATTAATTTAATTTATATTTCGGTTTTATTTTTAATGAGCACTTTAGTCCACACAATTGTGCATTTATTGTATCACTAATTTGCATCTATTATACTTTTATTCAATTACAAGATTGTCATATATATTAAATTACAATAAATTGAAAAATCTAAAATTGCATAAAGGCCCCTATAATTTATCTAATTCTTAATACATAGCCCTTGCAACAAAACATCATCTACACACATAATTCACACAGTATCAGCCGCCTGCCACCGCCTCCCGCCGTCGGCCTTCTGCCTACCGCAGGACGCCACCACGGCTGCTGCTCATCCAGCGCCACCGCCCGCTGCCCGCCGCTTGATGTCTGGACAATGGTAGCTCCGAGAAAACTCCGGCGTGAGTCGCGTGACTTTGTTGATCTCCAGTGCAGCGGTTTGCGGCAGCTGGCAACTCGTCACTGGGGCAGTTAGATTGTCCATGAAATCAAGACCTCCGATGACAGCGGTGTCGCAACGACCGTGAATGGTGGAGGTCCGGTGGCAGCAGGAAGGCGGAATCTAGTCGTGATGTTCGACGGCAGCGACGGAGCTGTTGGTTATGCCATCGGCGGTGGCGGTCTGGGGCAGCGCGGCGCCGGTAATAGTGGTTGCCGGCAGACTGTGTGTGTGTGTGTGTTCCGTGAATGTGCGACTGTGTGTATGTGTGTGTTTTTCTATAAAATGATTATGTGATGCGTGGGAGAATGGAGAGAAGGTGAAAAGGTGAGTGTGTGTTGTGTGTGAGAGAGGAGAGAAGATGAAAAGGTGACTGTGTGAAATGTGTGTGGAAGATGGGGATGGGTAGGTGACGAGTGGATTTTTGGTGGATGGTTTGTAGGTGGGTCTCACTGATTTGGCAATAATTTATAATGACTAATTTATCCTTAATTTGTGGTCAACTACATATATTTGACCATAATATAACTACTTATTTACTATATTACCATTAATGATTGACTATTATTTATTAAAGTTTGACTTGATCATGGTCATTGATGGTATGACTTCAATGATCCAAAATCATTCTTATTTCTTTCATTGTGCTTCATTCTCATTTGAGCGCACCTCTATATATATATATATATATATAAATACGGTTGAGTTCACATGAGAATGGTTCTTAGTGAAAGAAATAAGAATAAATTATAACCAATAGATCGGATGATCTAATGGCTAAAAAAAAGCAAGATTATACTCTCATTAAGGGTAATATTGTAATTTACACACACAGATAGTGGGACCTTATGCCACATCACCCCTTCTCCCATTTCTCTCTCTCTCTCTCTCTCTCTCTCTCTCTCTCTCTCTCTCT